TAAAGGTAGAAGGCTGATTTCTCTGATGCATTGTTTCAGAGAGTTCAAATTCTTCAATCACTTGGCAGAGTTTGCAGCAATGGTGGTACCTGCAGCAGTGAATCAGAGACACGGAAAAGACTCCTAACATTTTGAACCCAAGTTTGGGAACTTTAATTGAAGATGGTGTAAGAACAGAAGCAGAGTGAACCAATAAAAGATGGTATCATTACTACCATACTCCTATTACACAACAGAGAATTCCAACTGTCTTAGACTTCCCAATAAGACCTCAAGAACAGAACAGTTGACTAGCATTGGATCCAAGGCAACTGTAGGGACCTCAGCACCCAAACTAATGGATCTTCCATTTAATCTTTTGACATTAATGTTACTGATGTCACTTCCCTACTCTTTCAGTCTCTGCTTCTTTTTGTGCCCTCTGCCTTTTTGTGCATTCTTGTCCCTAACCAACTACGCATTTTTTAAACTTTCTCGCTGCCAACTTGTAGTGTCTGGAAGGCAGTATCCTTTAATTTGTTTAAGGCCTGACGTGACACTTTTGGCCTCTCCAAACTCTTTACTGTCCTTCTAGACACTGCTCTTATTGCTGTTTCCTAGTTTGGATTATCCATGGTTTGGTTACTTTCTATATTAGGCCTTTTCACAGATTGGTCTTCCTTTGGCAAGGGGTCAACCCCAGTTCAAAACGCTGTGGCTACAGAGTCAGGGTCACATAGAACAGAATATGGCCACCAAGAGGTACCCTCCTAGTTGTGGTCTATGGAAGGGACAGTCAAAGAGAGGTAAAATAGAGCTAATGATTAAGAGATGGAACAGCTACTGAGGGTAATTACTATGCCTAAGGACAAAGAAATAGGCAATATTTAATTGATATCTATTGAGGGAGGTCTTTATAATAAAATCATACAGGGGAGAGTAAGAACACAGAGTTAATGATGTAGGGTGGGGTTAGGTGGGAGTGGCATTGCATAAAACCTACATGAGAAGAATGAAAATTCCCTAAATTACCTGCGGAAGATCTTCTGAGTCTGGATTGGAGATGTCTGTGGAAGTTAAGGGTAGCTGGTTGCTTAAACATATTTAGATAAAGAGGGAATGGGAAGTGAGTCACAAGAGACCAACATATTGTACGATTCCATTTATATGAAGTGTCTAGAATAGGCAAATCCATAGAAAAAGAAAGATGAATAATTGTTTAGGGCTTAGGTGGGGGAAAATGGACAGTGACTACTAATGGGTATGGGGTTTCTCACGGGGGTGATGAAAATGTTCTAAAATTGTTGTAATGGTTGCAAAACTCTGAATACAGTAAAAACCATTGCACTGTACCTGTTAAGTAGATGAATTATATATCATGTAAGTTATATTTCCGTAAAGCTTGAAAAGAGGCAGTAGAAGCTTTCCTGAGATTCCAGTATCATTGTCTTGGAATCTTAAGTTGTTGCTGGACCATGGAAAGCCATAATTAAAAAGGAAAATGGTCTGGGCAAACAGCCTCTCCTTTGCTGTCCTGCCCACTGCTCCCTTGTGGTGTATTTAGTAAACTTCTATCTCCTTTGTTCTGCCCTGGGTGAATTCTTTCACTGCCCCTGCCACCATTCTCCACCCAATCTGGATGACCTGGCATTTTGTGGCCCATATGGGGAATCTCTGCTGGGCCCAGACTCTCCCTGGATTCTCCAGGAATTTCTCAGGACTTTTCCTCAGAGAACCATCTCTAGTAGTCCTTGAGGAACTGATGACCTTGGCTGAGGTCACTCCTTGGTAAGGAGCCAAAGGCCCCAGAGGGAAAAGGGTGAGGGATTTCCCCTCTTGACCTTCAGAGGAATCCTTTCTTCCCTCACCTTTCTCTTTTCAGCCCTTTGGCGGTCTAACCCTAGTACTCCTCCACAACTGAAGCTTTCTGGCCAGGGCAGCTATCCCCATGTGGTCTGAAGGTCCAAGGGCAAACAGGTTCGACACCTCATGCCTGTGAGGGCGAAGACTGCTTTCCTCTCCTCTCCCACTCCATCCCCCTGAGGTCTCTGTTACCAATTTGCAGCACATTTGGCAGCAGAAGCTCATCCAGGGCAAATCTGCACACATTACAGACTCAGTTGGGACTCTTTCTGATGCTGGCTGACGCTCAGCTGCCTTGCTTCCTTCTCCCCTGCACGCTTTTTTCCTTTGTTCCCTCAGATCCAACACCATCTTGATCTACAGGCAAAATACATTCCTACCTGTCTGAGTGAATCCAACAATTATGTATAGGAATGATTATTCAATAAGGATTCCAGCCCATGCCATCAGAGGGTCCCCTCTCCCTAAATCCCATGGACCTGGCTACCAGTGAATTTCACTCCAATCTCCTTTCAGCACATTAAATAATACCATGTTCTGGTCTATAACTGCACAGAACCCCTGATGGACCCACAAGTTGAGGTAGAGACGTGCACCCACCCTGTCTAGCAAGAAGCAGCTACTGAAGATGAGACCTCTACTCAAATACCAAAGATTTGTCATTGTTGATCTGTCAGGGTGGAATCCAGAGGCTGTTTTACGCAACAGGTTTGAGCAATGGAAACCTGAGTAAGGCAAAAGGGCCCAGAGTGATAACCAGGCTGCATGCAAACAGGTGCATTAAATGACCCACCTCAAAATAGCCATAGCCCCCAGCTGACCAATGGGCTACTTACAACCAGGCACTGTTACCAAAAAAGGAAAATTCCATAGGTTCCCATACCTCCTCATTTCACCCCATAACTATAGCCCCCCCCCCCACCGCCTCCTGGCAGACAGCCTATCCTTTGCTGTCCTGCATGCCACTGCTCCCTTACAGTGTTTTCAAAAAACATCTGTCTCCTTTAAAAAAGGTGGGGGGGGGGGGGGGGGGCGTGGCTCAGTTGGTTAAGTATCTGGATCTTGATTTCAGCTCAGGTCACGATCTCATGGTTTGTGGATTGAGCCCTGTGTCAGTCTCTGCACTGACAGCGCAGAGCCTGCTTGAGATTCTCTTTTCTCCCTTTCTCTGCCCCTCCCCTGCTCATGCGCTCTCTCTCTCTCTCTCTCTCTCTCTCTCTCTCTCTCTCTCAAAATAAATAAACTTAAAAAAAATAAAGGGAAAATTGTCTGGATGGTCAACACCATACCGTGTCCATGTTATGTATAAGCTACAGTAAAGAAAGCCAACAAAAAACTAATCAAGTCCAAGCTTCTGAAGTATATATAAGTAAAGCAATGTATTCAATAAATAGATTTAAATATAAATCTGTATGTAAATTTTGTCAAGTATAAATAACATCCTCGTCACTAAAAAAGTAAGCTCCTAGTGCTAAGGGATAGTATTTTACTTGAATGATCATTAAATAAATTCAATTAATCTTTCTTGTTGGTTGCTTAATTTTACTTATTTTTTTAATGCTTTATTTATTTTTGAGAGAGAGAATGTGTGTGTGAGCAGGGGAGGGGCAGAGAGAGAAGGGAACAGAGGCTCTGCGCTAACAGCAGCAAGCCCAATGTGTGGCTCAAACTCATGAAACGCAAGATCATGACCTGAGCCAAAGTAGGACACTCAACCACCAGCCACCCAGGCATCCCTGGTTGCTTAATTTTAAAGTAGTTTCTAAAAGACTGATAGCATAATCATTAGTCTGGTAAAGGTTGAAAAGTGTCAGTGAGATGTCTGAGTGCTGGCAAAAGGTAGGATAGATGGAAGCTAGGTCCCCTGGCTTCTTACCAGCTGTTGGGACGTAGGTAACTCACGCATTGAGCCTATGTCCTCATTTATAAAGTGAGGATAATGGTATTAGACCGCCTCCCTTACAGGTTATTGGGAGGTTATAAGCTTGTGTGTGAAAATACTTCAAACAAGTTAAACTCCATGCAAGTGTATGATACCTGTTCTCATTAAGCTAGATGTCATTTAGTTAACTTAATTCCCATGATTATGGTTAATAAGATAGCGTTCTGCAAAAAAGTCCTCTGCTCGCTGCCTAAAATGCCATTTGTATGCACAGTGAACTCTATAAGCTTGTTCTGCAGCCATCAGGATATGTGGCTATCAGTTTAATATCTTCAAGAACATTGTTCCTAGAAATGTTGTTGCAAATGCCCTGAAAAGCCCTCTTCCAAATATGAAATAGGCTTATAGGTTAAGACTGGGCATGCGATCATCCAAGAGATGAGAACTGGTAATAACACTGCTGCCACTTTATCAGAGAAGGTTAAGAAGGGACCTCCAACCTCAAATTATAAGATGTTTGCAACGCATCACATTTTGTCAACCAAATAAAGAAAATGAAGTTTAATTTCCCAAATTTTTATTAAAAATGGACTCTCATCAGATATGTTATTGCAAAGATGAAATCTCACAAAAGAGCAGTAAAGTTTGCTGTAATAATAAGCTTTAAATAAATATAAACTCTTTTTGCAGTTCTTTAACTTGAGAGGTTTTTGTTATTAAAAAAAGGTGTTTTCTTTTTTCCATGAGTCATGGACATTTTCCTACAAGAATTTCTATTTATTGAAGTAACTTAAGTTGTTAAAGTCAGTAGGGAGGAGTAGTGATCGTTGGGGAGGGGGAAAAGGTGGTGCAAATTTAAGTCTGAAAAAATTAGAAAAACAATTCCCAGTTCATGTCTTAAAATCTTTATTATTTGGTACTCCTTTAATGTAAAAATAGCCATTTTTCCATAAATCCTCAGTCTTTACTTTGCACCTTTAAAGAGTTGAAATAATTCTACCCAATTAACCACAATAGTCCCACTGCAGATACAAAGCTAAAACTAAAAGGAAACTTTTCAACATATCCTATAACATGCATTTGGTTATGGCTACCTTAACTGGATATTTTTTAGATCAAATTTCTCCTTAGGTAGCATTTTCGTTTTGGAAAATGCTGAGGTCAATGTCTAGGAGCAAAATATGTCTATGCGACACTCCTTTCCAATTGAAGGTATTTTATAGTTAACAAGCAAAACTGAACATGACAAAAATAGCCTGAATACAGTACCAATTCATTAGCATTTCCCTGGCAAGCTTCCCTTTGGCATTTTTGCATACACATAGGAGTCAGTTTTGGAGGGCAATGGGGGTGCAATAGCACTACTTGTTTTTTTGCTTAGCTCCATGAGAGTTAAACAGATGTGTGCCCAGTGGTATAGGTATTCGATGACACTATTACCAAACTTCCATACTTCAATTCGAGAATGATCTATACCAAAAAAAAAAAAAAGTTAGTATGGATAGTTTTGTACCTTTATTATTAAAATATATAAGTTCCAGTATTACGATGAAAGTTCATCAGATATGCTTTGAATCAAAACCATGGCAGAATTTTGTTTAAATGTATAATTATAAGAAAATGGATAAATAAATTTTGATACATTCATATAATAGAATATTGCATAGCATTTAATGAATAAAGAACTAAAGCTACACATTACATTGTGGATAAATCTCAGAACGTATTATCACAAAAAGCAAGTTGTAGAATAATATGTTCTTTTGGATACAATTAAAATATAATTTAAAACACTGCAAAATAATTTTGTATTGTTTATGGATTCATAAACATGTAAGTAAAAGTAAGGAATCATGCATAAAACTGATAAACATCAAATTCATAATAGTCTTAGCTCTAGAGAGGAAAAAAAGAGAATGGGAGGGATCAAGGAGAGGTAGAAAGTCTCAGCTGTTTCTCTAATGTTTTATTTCTTTAAAAATGTCTGACTCGGGGCGCCTGGGTGGCGCAGTCGGTTAAGCGTCCGACTTCAGCCAGGTCACGATCTCGCGGTCCGTGAGTTCGAGCCCCGCGTCGGGCTCTGGGCTGATGGCTCGGAGCCTGGAGCCTGTTTCCGATTCTGTGTCTCCCTCTCTCTCTGCCCCTCCCCCGTTCATGCTCGGTCTCTCTCTGTCCCAAAAATAAATAAACGTTGAAAAAAAAAAATTAAAAAAAAAAAAAATGTCTGACTCAGGGCACCTGGGTGGCTCGGTTGGTTAAGTATCTGACTTTGGCTCAGGTCACAATCTCATGGTTTGTGGGTTTGAGCCCTGCGTGGGGCTCTGCTTTAGCAGCTTAGAGCCTGGAGCCAGCATCAGATTCTGTGTCTCTCTGCTCCCTCCTCCCCACCCTGCTTGTGCTCTGTCTCACTCTCAAAAAATGAACATTAAAATTAAAAAAAAAAAAGTCTGACTCAAACATGTATAACATTCAGATTGGATACAGAATATGGCTCTGTAATGACTACACAGGTGTTTGTCTCTAACTTTGGTTTGTAAACTCTACACCCAACGTGGGGCTGGAACTCAGGACCCAGAGATCAAGAGTCTCATGCTCTTCCAACTGAGCCAGCCAGGCACCCCTATAATTTCTATGTTTAAAATTTTTCCTAATTAAAATTTATTTTAAAATATGTAATAACTGCACACCATATGTTTCATTTGTTAAATTGTAAACTATTAAACTGCCATTCATAAAAGTTACTTTTTCCCAGGAGTCAGTGACTAATATCCAGATAGAATGGTCCAATGAAAAGAGAATATACTTTAAAATTGAACATATCTGGGTTTCAATCTTGGCACTACCCCAACTAGTTCTGTGACCTTCAGTAGGCCACTTAATTGGTGTTAGCCTGTTTCTTCTTCTACAAAACAGGGATAACACCTCAGAACTGTTATGAGGATTAATAAGAAAAGATATTTAAAAATCTGTCACAGAGTAGCTGCTAAAACAATATTTCTTTCAGGTGCCTCTCACCATTAGCTCGATGTTTTATTCATTTTTGTTACTTCTTATGTCTACCACAGTGACTAATCCAATAAATGTTTGCTAATTTGAGTTGAATAAACCATTAAGTGATACTTATAATTGAATAAGAGTTTTTAAATGTCATCTTCTATCCAATGGCTCATTAATGACAAGTATGTCCTTCATGGATCTGTATTAGAATGACAGAACGGGGTGCCTGGGTGCTCAGTTGGTTAAGTATCTGAATCTTGATTTCAGCTCAGGTCATGATCCAGGATCTTGGGATCAAGTCTTGTGTCTGGCTCTGTGCTGAGCATGGAGCCTGCTTAGAACTCTCTCTCTCTCTCTCTCTCTCTCTCTCTCTCTCTCTCCATCTGCACCTTTCCCCCTGCTTGCACTCTCTCTCTCTAAAATAAAATTTTAAAAAAAAGGATAACAGGGACACCTGAGTGGTTCAGTTGGTTAAGCATCCAACTCTTGATTTTGGCTCAGATCATGATCTCACAGTTCATGAGTTTGAGCCCTGTATCGGGCTCTGCGCTGGCAATGCAGAGCCTGCTTGGGATTCTCTCTCTCCTCTCTCTGCCCCTCCCCTCCTCTCTCTCAAAATAAATAAATAAACTTAAAAAAAGAATGACAGAACATTTTATTTCCCTATATTCTATCCCTTCTTTCTATGAAGGAAGAAGATTCCCTGAATTAGATTTAGCCTTTCTATTATTTCAAAGTTTTGACTTCAACAAAAGTACAAGATATGAAAGGCACGTAAAAACTGGGAAACATTCACAAGTCTCAATTTTTATTTGAGGCTGATTTAAAACATGGAGGTGCAATTTTCTAAAACTTTTTCTTTCAACACACACAGAGGCACTGTCTTTTCTCTCGGTTGTAACTGTTCAATAAATGTTGAAACAACATTAAATTACAGAATGGTTAAATTAGGTCTTTCAAATATTAAAAGTCTTTTCAGATTATAGCTCAGTAACAAATGAATAAAACAAAAACAGATGGTGGTCATGAGAGCATAGTACAAATATCTGATTCATCTCAAGTTCTGGGCAATCCCAGACCAATCCACATACATACTTAAAATATTGAGGTGCACTAGTTGTAATTGATTCCTTTTTTTATTAATTCACTTCCTGGAAACTTTACAAAGTAATGCTATAGGCTGGAAAGATTACTTTGATTATCTTAACGTTCCAGTGTTATGAATCTAAAGTTCATCCCAGAACACACCTAAAACCAAACCTAATTCATTTTCTGAGATATCGGCTCTGCTGCACCCCACAGTTTTTATTCTTTCTGACCTTTCCAAATCCCCATCAAGAGCTCTGTTCCATTGATGCCTGCCTGCCTGCCACAGCGGTTTTATCTCAACATCCAAATGAAACAGACCCCTATCTGCAGCCATTATTAAGCTAGTCGGCCATCTCCACCGTGACTCAAGGACATGAGGATGGGGAGGGAGGCCTCTCCCTTTCACAAGCCCCTGTTGCTTATTTCCTGTCTTATTGTTACCCAGGACAGAAGCTCTGAACCTATCTGGGTTGTGGTTCCTGTTTGCCTGCGTTTTCCAGTGAGAGAGTGATGTGTTAACAACAGCTGTAATGATTTCTCTAATGAAGCCTCCTTGGCTCTGTTGGGTTCCCATTAACAATGGTTGAGCGCTACTGCCCTCTTGTGGTGGATGGACGCCAGATTTTGCCGCTTGGCAGAGGATAAGAGCCAGATTGCACAGGTTTGGTAATTCTTTCAAACAGACCAATTTGTTTCTTTTCTGTTAGAAATTATGTTGTTTTTTTTGTTTGTTTTTTGTTTTTTGTTTTTTTTTTTTGTTTTGCTTTGCCTTGGTAAAGCTTATAGTAAATTATTGGAGGAAATCTGAGCTAAAAGAATTGCTGGGTCAAACCCTTGAATCTGTTTATAAACCTATTAACTCAAAAACAATTAATGGTATTTTTGTAGGTTCTAGTTTAATCAAACTTTTAATTACATAAGGAATTGATTTTGCTGAAAGCTGTGGGATAGTCCAGGATATTTCTAATTCAAACTCCCTTTACAGATCTCTGTTTTAACACTAGATTAGTAAACTCCCCTTTTGGGAATTATAGGCAATTAGAAAGATGGGCAAAGCAAAAATAATGAAGTACTTAAGCATCAAGTTCAAAAGTCAAAGTATAACTGCTCCTTTCAACTAATAACCCAAGTATTTCTTGAATGCTTCTCTCCTTAGCCTTAGTTCTTAGTTTTAGTTCCTTTATTTCTATTGTTTTGTATACTTTGTGCCACCTTTTAACATTACTGCCACATGCAATGGGCTGAATGTCCTGCAACATCATATAGCTAAAAGATCATGTGTGTGCATGTTTCAGTCAGTTCTTAAGTAGGTCAGAACACCCATATTGGCCATGGCTTTCAGGCACTTACTATGTTATCATTAACTTAAAGTGATCCAAAATGTACTGTAGAGTGCTGCTTCTAGGATCAGTGTTAAAGGGGGAGGTAAAAACACATTTTTTTCTCGAATTACCCAAAGTTGGGTAGAAGTTTGCTCCAGACTGAACATTGTGTTCTTGCAGGCATATTAGTTTCATTTCTGTTGGTATAATTTCCTTACAATATCACATTGTATTGGCGCTTTTTTTTCATGATATATCTATAAATCAAATATGAGAGGGGTGCCTGGGTGGCTCAGTTGGTTGAGCATCTGACTCTTGGTTTCTGCCCAGTCATGACCTCACCGTTCATGGGTATGAGCCCCACTTGGGATTCTCCCACTCTCTCTCTGCTCCTCCCGACCTCATTCTCTCCCTCTATTTCTCTCAAAATAAATAAACTTTTTTTTTTAATGTGAGAATTGAAATCAATGCAATTTGCTTTACAAAAATTCATAGTTTAATGCAGTAGACTCTGAACTCTGATTATGTACTTCCATCAGTAACAAATATTGAGCATGAACCCCAATACATGTATATTTATTTATAAATCATTAATTTTAAAACAAAGTAGGCAGTGATGGGCAATAGGCAATAATTACAAACAAAAGTCCTATAGTATTTTTCTTACACCCCAAAAGTACAGGTATCAGCTGTTTGTCCTTTTGTTTCCTCCTTTTTGTTTGGAGCTTTGTCGAGGAAGCTTACAGAGGGCTCTATATTCAGTAAACACACTCATAATCTCCCAGTTTTCACTCTGGTCCTCTCCCTCTCAACTGTGTCTGATGTCCCCCAGTCCAGAGAGTTTCTATGTTATCCCCTTTGAGAAATAAATTTCTAGGGTTGGGGAGAGGAAGTTGCCCAGTGGTGTGATGTAGAAATGAGATACAGACAAAAACACTAAAAACAGAAAGAAAGGAGAAACAACAGGGAAGAGAAAACTTCAAAAAATAATTATTGTTGGGGTGCCCAGGTGGCTCAATGAGTTAAGTGTCAGACTCAATTTCGGCTCAGGTCATGATCTCA